ACAATAAGTCACTCTGGCTCTCTGTGATTCTTTGTTCACTTTGATAAAGTATAAAACAACATCCAGTCTCCTGTCAACCACAACTCCTCTACAAGTGACACTAACTTAGATCACCACAGAGTATACATACTGCGTACAATTACAACTTTTGCTAAATATATAAATAATCTTTATGTCAATCTTTTATACTGCTTTCCAGGCAAGAATCTGACTTTGAGCATACTTTGCTCATTTAAACTAAACATTCATTTTTATTTTGTTTCTGTATATATATATATAACATTCTTTCTTGTATTCTCATTCAATCAAATAACCTGTTAATTAAATTATATACAAGGATTTCTTGATTAATAATACTTAGCAAAGGGGAGTAACTCTCATTTGCTTCACATCACAATTGTGTACTCTGCCTCCTAGATACCCAACAAAAGATAAATTTACTTATAATTAAATTTAATACATGTATTTACATTGATATTATTGTATTTAGCTTGTTTGCTTAGTACTCAGGGGCAGAGGAGAAGTTTTTCAAAACATTAATGCATTTTGCTAATTAATCAATAGAACCCACCCAAGCTCAAGAACCCCTGACCCAGGGGCCATGAAATTCAAAATTTTGGAAGAGGCATCCTTTCTCATCATAACTATGTATTTAGTTTGTTTTAATTAATACCAAGGGGCAGAGGAGGAGATTTTCAAAGCATTAATTTATTTTCAGTATATAATAAATAAGCCCCCCCCCCCCAACATGGAACCCCTGACCTAGGGGCCATGAAATTCACAATTTTGGAAGAGACACTCTTGCTCATCAGAACTATGTACTTAGTTCATCAGCTCAATACCCAGGAGCAGAGAAGATTTTCAAAGCATTAATTTATTTTCAATATATAGAAAAAAAGCCCCCCCCCCCCCCCCCCCCACATGGAACCCCTCACCAAGAGGGGCCATGAAATTCACAATTTCGGAAGAGACACTCTTGCTCATCATAACTATGTACTTAATTCATCGGCTTAATACCCAGGAGAGAGGAGAAGATTTTCAAAGAATTAATGCATTTTCACTATATATTCATTAGAGCCCCGCCCTAACACCAGAACCCCTGACCCAGGGGCCATGAAATTCACAATTTTGGAAGAGGCACTCTTGCTCATCATAACTATGTACTTCATTCATCGGCTTAATACCCAGGAGCAGAGGAGAAGATTTTCAAAGAATTAATGCATTTTCACTACATCATCATTAGAGCCCCGCCCTAACACCAGAACCCCTGACCCTGGGGCCATGAAATTCACAATTTTGGAAGAGGCACCCTTGCTCATCATAACTATGTACTTCATTCATCGGCTTAATACCCAGGAGCAGAGGAGAAGATTTTTAAAGAATTAACGCATTTTCACTACATAATCATTAGAGCCCCACCCTAGCACCAGAACCCCTGACCCTGGGGCCATGAATTTCACAATTTTGGTAGAGGGCTCAATGCCTATTACAATCATGCCAACAGTTTGACTGCTTGATGTCCAGGAGTAAAGAAGAAGATTTTTAAAGACTGCATTAATTTTGATGGTTTTAGCCCCACCCCTCAGGCACCAGGGGGGCAGGGGCCATGAATTTCACAATTTTTACTCCCCTTCACCTATAGATGCTATATGCCAAATTTGGTTAAAATTGGTTCAGTGGTTCAGAAGAAGCTAAAAATGTTTAAAAGTTTATGACCGATTGACGACGAACGACGAACCACGTACGACGAACGACGACAGACAAAAACAGATAGCAATAGTCACCTGAGTGACTCAGGTGACCTAAAAAGTTATGTTTTTCCAGCATATCACTCAGGGGCATGATGGAATCAAGTTATTTTTTAAAATAACTTTTTTAGGTTACTGCACTTATTCATTACTAAACAAAGAAATAACTCATTTGAGTTAATTCTTAAAATGTAAAATGCCTATCAATTTTGCCAAAAAAATCAATATTTTGAGTTTGCTGCTGATTTAAGATGACGTAAGGCTGAGAAAGTTGTAAATATATGTACTTCTTTTAATAGACTCAACAGACTTCATATCTCCTGAGCATATATGATGATATTTACCAAAATATCATGATATTTTTCAGGGGAAAATAATTCCATTTCATGAACATTTCAGATGTCAATTACACAACTTCTGCCAATTTTGCCAACAGTGAGACTAATTTTCCTAAAATCCTTGGATATTACAGTACAATCTCTATGTCTTGCATTTTTTGTGCAAAGCTGTAGATTTTTGTGCAAGAGTTCTAAAGTGATGTTGATTAAGGTTGAAATAACTGATACAAGTTATGATTTGTTGAATTTCAACTTGTTAAATCTTAAAGATAGATTACTTTTACTGTCATGAACCTTTTCCATGTACTTAATAACCCAAGTACAGCATGAATAAAGCTTTTCAGATACCAGTAGGTTTAAAACAATGAATAGTAAAGTATCAATAACTGGAATAAGTTACTGAAGAAAAGCATAATCAGGGAAAGATAACCCAAAATAATAACATTTAATAACTTAAAAATAACTTGTTTCCATGATGCCCTTAACTGATATTTCGGAAAAATTAGGAATACAGGTAACTCTCGATACCTCAAAGTCTGTGGGACTGACGAAAAATTTCGAGAGATCAAGCATTCGAGTGTTCAAGAGTCCGGAATTTTCCAGATTTGTTGACAGGTTTTAAAATTAGTCTTACTGGATGTAATGATTTTCATGCAGTGCTAACCTCTTACATGTGGTTTTTATTAAACAATGATATTTTTTCGTAATTTAGATGAATATTTCATTAAACTGAGTAAAGCAAAAAATGTACATCTTCATTTCATATATATTTATTTATTCTTTGTAATACGGACATCATACTACACATTCGTTACATAAAAATTACATTTTACAGCGTCATACATAGCACTGAATATTCCAAACATGATCATTGAACGCAATTCTGTATTTGTCTAATACTCGTCGTACTGACATTGAGGCTGTTTCTGCTTTTTTCATATTTTGTTTAACTTTGACACTGACTCGAAATTAAAATTAAATTAGTATTTCGTTTTTTAACCGACTACTACTTTTCACTACACTGCGTTTCTAAATTATCGTAAGACAGTCGTTGATAAATATTTAAACAGCATATAGGCTAAATATGATTAATTATAAACCAATTATCACCTCGCAGCATAAGTGTTACCTGAATAAACATCTCGTTCCTCAAGACCTGTGACTTCTGCCTGGGGCCATTTAAATGTCCAGGTAGAGGTGCTAATTATATAACCTTGTATACACATAGCCACTTCGAGGTATCGAGGGTAAATTCCAATAGAATATGCATAACGGGACCACATTTTGACTTCGAGGGATCAAGGGTTTTGAGAGATCAAGAATTCGAAAAATCAAGAGTAAATTTGGTTAGTTATGTAGGGGAAAAATTCGGAACCGGAGACTCACTTCGAGCGATCAAGAACTTTGAGAGGTCGAAGTTCAAGCCATCAAGAGTTACCTGTATTCATTTAAAATCATTATAAAAATTGCTTGTAAAAAATCATGTTATTATCATGAAATTTTGGGAAAAAATCATAATATATCGCGATACAAAATTTTTGGCGATACCCATCCCTAGTGCAACACACATTCTACCTGATGCATTAAATGGCCAAGTTTGATGATTCTAGGTTTAATAATTTTCTAGTTGTGAGCCGGACAGGATTTTTTCATATTTGGACATAGCATCTTAATTCCCCAATTAAACGAGACTTACCTTGGTAAAAGTCGAAGTTTGATTGGAATTTTATGAGTCACATAAACACTGAAGGGATCAGATGAGATGCGTACTTCGAGCCCGATACGTCAGTCTTGAAAGGAAGGGATTGTGCATTTCCGAACAGATTACATCATTTAATAAAAATTACCATAGATATTCATTAAAACATCCCTTCCTCAAGGGTGGGTACTACATCAAGACAACATTGTGGCGGGCATCTGATCCCTTCAGTGTTTATGTGACTCATAAAATTCCAATCAAACTTCGACTTTTACCAAGGTAAGTCTTGTTTAATTGGGGAATTTTATTACGTCACAACACTTCCGGAATCATATGAGACTTTAAAGCAAAAATGCACAAGCCCGCTGATGAAGTACAAAATTTTTTATTTTTGCAAAAGTTAATGCAACAAAACACCTCAACTCAACACTGCAGAATGAAACTGCGATTGTACAATTCTCTTATCATAAAATTTTCCAAAAGTTCCAGCATTACTCCACCCTGCAACTTTCAAAATGTCATCAACAGGTACAGAAGCATATTTAGCTTTGGACACTGCAGCACTTCTAACACTATGACTTGAAAACTTTTTAGTGTCAATACCTGCCCTGGTCATAACAGTTTTAAGCCATCTTGAAATAGTATCCTTACCAATTCTGTTATGAGGCTTCACATAACTAATAAACAAAAAAGTACAGTCTTTTCTAATAATACTTGTTTTCTTCAAATATTCTTTTAACACAGTAATCACACATAATCTTCGATCTGGTGGATAAGCCTTCAATTCTACACAGTTTGTATGACACCCAGGTCTATCTTGTTTAAGAAGACCTTTATAACACAACTTATATACATTGCAACTTTTTTCAATTCCATCTATACTCAACAAATGTAAAGATTGACATCTTGCTGTAGTAGTTAATGCAATTAACATACATAATTTGAGAGATAAATCTTTCAATGATAAATATTTACATGGAGATAATTTTCTAAGTACAGACAATACACAAGAAACATCCCATATAACAGAATAGCGTGGTACACTGGGTCTCAAGTTAAAAACACCCTTTAAAAATCTAATCACAAGTGGATGCTTTCCAACTGTAAAACCATCACATGAAATTCCTAGAGCACTTAATGATGATCTTGCTGTGTTTAGCGCACTGTATCCAAGCCCTGAATCAAAAAGTTCTGTCATAAAGTCAAGGACAAAGTTTACAGGAACTTGAATTGTACTAATTTTCCTTTTATTAGTGAACGAAATCCATTTTCGAATATAGCTTGAGTATTGTTGTCTTGTCCCTGATCTCCAGGAAGCCAAGATGATGTTTGAAGCTTTTCGCGATATCTTTCGCATTTCCAAAGTTTTCCTGATAAGCGACACGCTACTAGAGTTAGTTTCTTGTGTAGTGGATGTTTCTCCCTCGAGTGAGGTAAAGACAGAATCCCCTTCGGAAGAATCACTGGAGTTCTTATCAACAAATCCATTAGCACTGGATACCAGCACTGAGTTGGCCACAGTGGAACCACAATCAAACACTCTGCTTGGTCTGTCCTCACCTTCTGTAATGTTCTGCTGATTAGACTGAAAGGAGGAAAAGCATAATAATAACCTGTCCATTGAAATGAAAATGCATTAATAAATTTTGCATCAGGATCAGGTTTCCATGAACAATATAGCTTCAACTGTTTGTTCAGCCTAGATGCAAACAGATCTAACTCTGGGAGTCCAAAAATAACAGAAATTCTGTCAAAAATTCCAACTTCTAACTTCCACTCCACAGAGTCATTAAATTCTCGAGAAAATTTATCTGCTATATTATTTTCACCAGGTACATGATCAGCAGAAATCCAGACTTTCCTATTCATACACCAAAACCAAGTTTCTTGTGATAACCTATTCAATTTTTCTGACTTTATGCCACCTATGTTATTTAAATATGCCTTTGCACATGTATTATCTGTCATTATCTTTACATGTATATCAGAAGCATCTTTACAAAAAGATTTAAGTGCCAGATATATCGCAAGAAGTTCTAAATAATTAATATGATTTTTACTTTCATCTTCATTCCATCTTCCTCCTGCACTACTTTTACCACAGACTGCTCCCCACCCTATAGTGGAAGCATCTGTCGTAATAACAATGTCTGGATTTCCATGATCTATGATTCTCTTCTGACTGTGAACATTCTCTATCCACCAAAACAACTCATTCTTAGCTTTTTCTGACAAATTTGAATTGGCATCAAAATTTCCATTATTTTTCCTCAACGCCTCTATTTTGTCCAACTCTAAATTTCTATAAAATAATGGACCATACTCTACTGCAGAAAAACTTGCCACAATAAGACCAATTACTCTAGCTAGCAGACGAATTGAACAACTTCCTTTTTTCCACACTTTCCTACATTCCTCAACAATAGTGTCTGCTCTACTTGGACTTAATGTGACAATCATTTTGACTGAGTCAATAATATTTCCAAGAAAGGTAATACATTGAGATGGTACACATACAGATTTCTTTTCATTTATGACCAAACCTAGTCTTTCCATCAAACATCTTGAATCTAATACATTTTTCGAACATTCTTCCAATGTATCACTAATCAGAAGAGAATCATCAATATACCCAACATTCAAATGACCCATAATTCTAAGAGTAGAATACACAGGTTTCATTAACTTTGTAAAAAATCTGGGAGCACAGGCAATGCCCATTGGTAAGCAGGAAAATTCAAAAAATTTTCCAAGCCAAATAAACCTTAAATATTTTCTTTGTTCCTCTGCAATTGATACTGAATAATAAGCATGTTTAAGATCTAATGATGCCATGAAACAATTTTTCTTTACTAATTTTATAGCACTTTCAAAAGAATCCATCTTGAAATGTTGGTAAGGAATGTACTTATTCAATTCTTTTAAATTCAATATCACTCTCAAATCTCCATCTTTCTTAGGTATGGTAAAAATTGGAGATAAGAACTGTCCTTCTACAAAATCACATTCCTTAATGATACCCTGTTCACAAAATTCATTTATTTGCGTGTTAATTTTTTCTATTTCAGACTTTGCAAAAACAGAATGAGGTATACTATTCTGAGATGGTAAACCTAATTCTTCATCAAATTCAATATGGCAATTTTCAACAATATCTAAGATGACCTTATCTTCTGTAATCTTTTGCCATTCAGAGGAAAATTTTTTTAATCTTCCTGCACAAAAATTTTTAATGTCTGCTTTAGATTTAGCACTTACCTCTTTATCTATTTGTTGGAGCTGTGCTCCCCTTTCAAGTTTTTTGAGCTCTCTTTAGAGGTAGAGCTGTTTGACCATCGACCCCAACTACTAGTAGATCTTTGGTTCCGTGGTCTTCCTAATGCTCCTCGACCATAGGGACGTCCCCGTGCCCTAAAGAATGCCCCTGCTCGAAAATTTCCTCTGTGAAATTTTCCATGTACTTTACTACTTATTCTATTCACATCTTGAATTTCTTTCACAGATTTGGCAACATCATCTCCATATAGAAATTCTGAGAAGGGCAGAGATGGTGAACTAAGATGGTAGTACTCCCTACCTAAATCAGGTCTATGAAGTTCCTTGCGCTTAACATTAATCAGCTTGTTCGTGTGTCCCAGAAGGGCTAAAGCATCTGTAGACAAAGTTACCAAGCTCTGTAATCCTTCAATGACCTCGGAATCCATTTCATTCAGTTTATTTGCTAATTTTGTTAAGTTTACCGAGGCTTTTATCACTGCCGATTGAATTATCTGAAATTTGGCATCACAACTTCGTGTTTCTGGATTTAAAATACTCCACAAAGCTTGGTTTACTCTTGTTTTAATCAAAGCTGTACAATTTTCTGGCCTTTTAATACTTTTCAACAGTTCATTAAAGTAGTCATCATTTAGCCCCTCTCTGAACAGTTCGTTTATCATCGAGGCCAACTCCTCGTCTACATTTTCATCACAGTCTTCCTTAACTTTATACTTTACGCCCAGTTGTTTAAATCTTGACGTTTCACCGTCCTCCTTACGTTTTTTACAAGGGGGTTCACCTGAATCCCTATCACCCTCAACATCAGACAACTGGTTTATTGGAGTCATCAACAACTCTTCTTCTTCCAACTCATTAATATCACCATAATAGATATCGTTAACTCTGTTATTCATTTTCTCAATCTTCCGGTCTTGGTTATCTTGATTTTCTTTAATAGACTTCAATAAATTCATTACCTCTGTCATTCCTGGTGTAACGACAGATGAAGTCGCAATGTTACCTCCAGTAACAACTCGTTCCTCATTATTTTCCAACAAAACAGAGCTTCCACTTTCTTCATTAGTAACCTTTTTCTCAATTGACTTCTTAGAGGAACGTTTCGACGATTCATTCGTCTTAGTTTTTTCTTTTTCGGCGCGGTCCCGTTCCGACGTGACACCCGCCATTTTTTCACACTTATAGTCTCAAAACCAAAGTCACAAAATTCACCAGCAAACTGGAGAATTTTTTCTTCGTTACCGCGTAACGAATATTTAAATTAATTATATTATAACTACCACGTAGTTATATATATATGATAACTACCACGTAGTTATCTAAGTTACTAGAAACTGACACCGAGAGTCGACCACGTCCACTCTCGAAAACAAATGGAAGTACACTGACGTATCGGGCTCGAAGTACGCATCTCATATGATTCCGGAAGTGTTGTGACGTAATAAAATTAAAGGTCGAGCTACCTACTTTTAATGTGCGACACACCTTCTGCCTAAGAAGTATCAGATAACATAGTTTGATCATTCTTGGCCTAATAGTATTTAGGTTATGAGCTGGACACAAAAAAGCCAACAGATGGACATTAACGCCATAACATAATACGTCCCGTATTCAGAAGGGCGTATAAAAAGACAAAAGGTTCGACAGTTGCCATTTTGGATTCCATGGGGTGGATAAGTTCACTCACTTCTATCATCTACAGATTCACACTTGCGGTATAAAACATGCAGTAAACCAAAATGTCCTCAATACCTAGCACTGAAACTGAAGGAAGTGACATTTTCTAACTATGTAAAGTGTAGATGCGTCCCGGAAATGAGTGGAATGTCTAGAAAGGTCAGAAAATATGCTAAACTTGTTCTCTCTAGACTTTCTGTGCAATTATGGTAAGCCTCTATGCAGATCTGCTTTCATATAAATATGATCAATCATGGCTTTCCTATTCTTGAGAAGATTTTTAAAGATTTTTTTCCTATATATATCCATGTAAAATTTTGATTGCCCATAGTGGCTACACCCTACCCCCGATGGTCAGGATTTGATCAAACTTGAATCTACACTACCTATGAATGCTTCCACATAAATATGACGGATTATGGCTTTTTGTTCTTGAAAAAAGATTTTTTCCTATTTAAACCCATATAAAACTTTAATTGCCCACAGTGGCCACACTCTACCCCCAGGGGTCATGATTTGAACCAATTTGAATCTACACTATGTTAAGAAGCTTTCACATTATTTTCATCTTTTTCTGGCCAAGTGGTACTCGAGAAGACTTTAAATGATCTCACTCATTATTTACTTTTTCTTAATTATTTCCCCTTGGAAAACAGTGTGTCCCTTCATTTGAAAAAAACTTCAATTCTCTTTTCCCAAGGATACTCTGTGCCAAATTTAGTAAAAATTGGCCCTGTGGTTCTGGAAAAAATGAAGAAATTGTAAAAAGTTTATGACAATGACAGACAATGAACAAATTTTGATCAGAAAAGCTCACTTGAGCCTTTGGCTCAGGTGAACTAATAAATTGTGATCAGATAAGCTAACTTGAGCTTTCAGCTCAGGTGAGCTTAAAATATAATTGAAACTTAATCATGTTAATAATCAATGTAGCTGCTCATGCTTAGAAATCTCCCTAAAATTGGAAACTTCTCCCTAATTTTCTCTGATGGAGAAGTAAGTCTCCCTAAATTCTGGGTTGGTCCCTGTCACCACAGCTTTTGTCTTGAGTAACCTAAAAAGATTACAATTCTTACAGAGTTTGAACTGTCATCCTCTTCAGGATCCTCTAATTTCCTTTTCCTATTTGCCAAGGGCTCAGGTACGTCAGCGGCCATTTTTTAATCTACAAAATAAAACAACAATAAACTGCACTGCCTCAGTATATGATAAAACCCATCAAATATTGTTCAATTGGGCCAAAGTTTTTTTTTCGTTTGGTTTACGATTCCGCCGACCCTAATTTTCACAAATCATGAAAATAAAAATAATGTCTTTTTCCGACATATATTTCCGGGTTTTTCTCAGCTGAACTGGTGGGTTTTAAATTTTAGAATGCATCTTAGTCAAATAAGCGCCTATAAATTTATGAGACCTTTACAAACATTTAGGTGACCGTAAATAAACACGTGCAAACCAAAAATGGCGGCTCTGTCATGTAACAAGGTAATTCCTCACTGAAAGCAATGACACACACTTAAAGAACTTTTTCTGCATGGAAAAGTGAATAAAATCTTGGATAAATGATCCCTTTCTCAAATTGCAATGTCTCAATTGGCTAAATTCATACCGTAATATTGGAGAGTGTATGCCCAACCCTGATCGACCTAGCAGACACGGATACACCTATAGATAATAAGGATTTATCAGTGCCTTCTCAGGGGCCGAAGTTCGGCCCATTCCCAATTGAAAATGAGTTCAGTTTTTTCCCAATTTGGCAGTATTTTTTCTCAATTGGTGAACAATGCTTTTATTTTTAATTATCTTGGAAAAACACAAAGTAAAATTGTCAGATTGTCTGTAATTTTCATATATTTAACTCATTTAGCAAAGCTACAGTCATAACACATTTTTAAAAACACTGTAAAAACACCGCCAACTTTTAATCCGAATTTCCTCTGTTTTTCTAAAAATGATGATATTGTGAAATTATATAGATTTATTAAGTTATTTCCACCTACTCATTTGATCTGCGAGTTAATGGTAAGGACTTAAGGCATTATTTCAGATAGAAAAATATATTTTCAATGCATTAATACATATTAAAAGAGGACTTTTAGAAAATGTGTACTTCGTATAATTTTTTGCAGGAGGTTTATAATCTCCAGAAACAGATACTATAATGATCTAAATTGAAATCTCATACACACATGTACATGATGTACATGTACTACCTAAGTTGTATAAATGCTTTATACTAATTGAAGTCCATTTTACTTTTATTAGTCTATTATTCAAAATTGATTTTGTACGAATAAGATGGTCCATATTTAATTGTCATTTGGTTGCCCAAATTAGAGTTCGTGCTGAAATGTTAAATGAATTACCCCTGAGTACATGATTTAAGCAACATTTTAAAAAAAGTTTGCAATTTCATCAAATAGCCGATAATTTTTTCCCAATTCCCCAAAAATGGTGTTTCCCAAAAAAGGCTGATAAATCCATGGATAATAGTTAGGCCAATTTAGTGTTGAGAGATGCATCCTAGTTGAAGTAACGTTGACTGGTATTTCACTGGATAAATTCAAATGTGTATAAAACATTTGTTAGTTTATAGAAGTAAATTCAATATACAAATCTTTGCAAATTTCATACTCAATTGAGATTAAAGCCCTTTGAAATACTAAGTAAATAATGAGCATTGCCTACTGTGCAGGTACATAACAAACATTTAAAGAAGGACTCGATTGAGAAATTATTAGGCTTTTTTGCCGCAGGTTGAACATTAAATTTGATAGCTGCATGATCAAATTATTATAAACTTATTTCAGCGTCAATTACTTTTAATGTTGTTAAACACTTAAATTGTATTTTTCTTCAATCTAAATTTAACTTGAATTTGGATCCTTATATTTTAGTTTGTGGGGATACCAAGGTTTATAACACATCACATATCACTGAAGAGCACAAAATGTTGAACATCATGAACCAAGCACTGATTGACAAACAAAAATCAGAACTATATGTCAATGAAAATGACATTCAGTCTAAAGTTAGAAATGAATTAAAATTGAATAAAAAGAGTTATGTGATCTAGACAATAAAACTTAAAAGTACTATTGACGTGTATTATTTTTATTAAAATAAACATTGCTGGTATTTTAAAATGAAATTGTTGAATCCTAAATTATTTTTATTTTTATTTTTCGACCACCCAATGCATTTTTTTGAGACAGAAAATCGTAAACCAAAAAAAATAAAAACTTTGGCCTTAATTATCATAAACAGATTGGAATGCAAGGAAGACAATAATGTCAACCTTTGTACAAAGATTTCAATGATTTTTTTTTCCATTCTTAATGTTTGATGTGCATCTCCTAGTAGTGTGTTTATCAAGTGTAGTTATAAATTGGAACAAATAATAATTCACATAGTTCTCAACTGGATCTGTTTTTATCCTCAATTTGTAAAAGATAAGGCAACAATGGAATGGAATGGACAGAATAATGGGCCTGTAAACATGGAGAATTAAAAATCCAATTAGCCACTGCAGGGCACAGTATATGTCAATCAATATCTCTAAAAAAAAAAAAGGAAAGTAACCTAATGAAAATTGTGGGACATCCTAAATTAGTAATATACAAAATATGAAAAAAAATGAATGACAATTTTTTCCCAAAGGTCCTTCTTCCCCTTAACACACATCTACTCGTCATGTTTTTGATCTTTTTTACAAAGGAATATATAGGAATCTTTTTTTTTTTAAATCTTCTATTTGTACAACAAAGCCATTTGTTATATTGACATGGAAGCATCATCAGGTAGTTTAAAATTCAAGCCCCCCCCCCCCCCAACCCCTTGTAATCTTTTCAATACTGAACTTATTTGCACTTTTGCCTAGCTAGTGTGCTCAAGTGAGCGATGTGGCCCATGGGCCTCTTGTTTGACTCTTGACGGTGACCCTGGAGTTTGACCTATATTCAAAAAACTTTTAACATTGACCTTCAGCTGCCATACGGGGGCATCAGTGTTTTGCAAACTTTTATTTGTTTTAGAATTATTACACACCTGATGTTTTCTTTACAAATTGTATAAAAAATGACATTACTAAACCTTTGTAGAAAAAATATCAAAAGCAGAAAATTCCAACTTATTGCTACATGACCTCTTTAGCTGATTGAATGGTTAACAGACAACAATATGCAGGGTCATAAGCATTGAGTTAATTAGTAGTTTATCCCCCATTGTGGCACCTCCCTATCCCTGGGGTCATCATTTGAACAAACTTGAATCTTCACTCAAGACATATGGAGAAGCCACCACTTGCCGATGGAGAGCTGCAAATTTTGACCTATGCTCGTCACTCAGGGCCATTGAGCAGTGAGGGATCTTTTTCGTGCCAGCACCTACTGTGACACGGGACCTCGGTTTATACGGTCTCATCCGAAGGACCGGTCTCCACATCCCAAAGTGGGATTCCAACCCGCGACATAAGGATCAACTCCTTCCTCCG